GACTGTTTAGGGAATTCCTTTTGAATTGTATGCATTAAATAGTTGATTTTTCTAGGGTTTGGGTATCTTGAATTTGGCTGAAATTTGAGATCTCTTAGATTTAGGTTTTCTTTGGGCTCTAATGGCGTCTAGAGATTTGGGAGAGATCGATCCTCCTCCGAATTGAGGATCAATTGTATCTTGCTATTTTATTCATCGACTAGTGGAATACAAGCTTTTATTTGAGTTTTCTCTCAGATTACCTTGTGGTTTTGCTGTTTTTCTGCTGTGGACAGCAGATTTACTGCTGTTTGCTCTTCGTTTGGTGTTAGGATTGCTTGAGAACTCAAGTTTACCCTTAGGGTTACTTGCGAACTCAAATATTTCCTATCAGAGACAATTTTGATCCTTCATAAAGAGTCAAGGGACCATTTGCAAAGCAAATATACATATAGAGCTGAGTCAAATGACTTCCTTAATCAATAGTATCTTAGGATGTTAGTTACGAGGGCTTGCAATCATAGAAGATATTGACCACAGTTATAAACAAAACCCTGAACATTACTGGTAAATCTGATTATATCTATTTGCCCACTCTATTCCCATGCACATCATCCAAGAGCCTCAAGGAAATGAGTAGGACAAAGAAATGCTTGAAATTGCGACTAAAGACTTGTGTTTACTGTAATTAATATTCCATACAATACTCAACATGAATGAATAAAAAAGAAATATTGAGCTGGCCTTAAATATTTAGGATAAGTCTAATGATGATAATGATGATTCAATCACAGAAACCCAATGATGTATCGATTTATATTTGTTTCAATCTTCTTCATCCCTCCTCCCTTTATCCCTATATCTTGAATTGATGGCATTATAACCAGGTTTATTAATATGATTGTTGCTGAGCTAGGAAGACTCAAGTGTTACCATAAACCGCACTTACATGTTTGTTACATAGATATATATATTTTCAATCTTATTAATCAAATATTATCATTAACAAATGCATATCTTGCTAATAATGCTCTAATCGCGCATAAAGATTCAAGTTCTTACACATTTGAAAGACGCGGCCTTTGTTTTTTGATCTGTGCTGTCTTTTTTCAATTTCACTGTGATTTGAATATTGAATCCATACAGATGATTTTGCCTAAATCAACTTTAACTCAATACATTTTCATGCATGTCAGTATTTCACGTCTGCTTTGTCTTATTTATTATTCTTGTTTCTAGAAGTGCCGCCTCCATTTCCACCTCCCCGGTCAGAAAGGAGTTTTCGAGAACAATATCAGTTATTTCATATGAAAAGAAGGGAACTTGGTTGTCCCTCATATTTGTGGAACTTTGCATTCTTTACAGCCCAGGTCAATCCCAAACCTTGGTAATACATTATTCTCTTGATCATATAGTTATTCTCTATTCCTTCATATCTTGATCCGGCATATAATGAGGTAAATCATAAGCACTCATAGGTGGGAATATGGTGAATGCTAGCTGGACAAGTTTTAAACATATATATCCTCTTTCATAATAACAAACTTGTAGAAGCTGTGAAGGATTTATGAATTAGAGTTAACTGAATATAAAACTAGCTCTACTTATCTATTCATTTATGCTAGTCTTGTCCATCATTCTCTATCCTTTTGTGATGAAGTTTTATAGCACAATATAGAGGAGATATTGCTTCAAACAATTTTTTTGAAAATTGCCAACTTTAATTTTTGAAATGCAATACTTTTGTTAAGTGTTTCTTGAAACTGCTTCTTTTGTCATATCTTAGTTTTCCTGATTTTTGTTGTACTTGTCTATATGCTGTTACAGTTCCCATGCTTTTTGCTATGGATGAGCAGCATTCGGAGGATGTGTTTAGATCATCACCCTGGCTTTGATAGTGTAAGGGAAATTACTCTCTTTGATTTACATTTTCCAGTTTCTTAAATGCTTGTTGCTATAGAGCCTACTTCATATGCAAAGACTCAGCTTTTGATGTTAAGCACACTAGGAAAGTTGTTATAATTGAAGCGTCCAAACAATTCTCTTTGAAATTTTCCAAGAGATCAAACGTGCTATTGAAAAATTAAAAATAGCATCATACAAAAAACAGATATGAAAAAATGAAAATAAAGATACATAGGCAAAAACATTGATTTATGTGGTTCAGTCAAGAATGACCTATAGCTACATGACTAGAAGCATTTATAAACCCATGAACAAATATATGAAGGGATACAAATTGAATAGAATCAAAAGATATATCAAATCCTTGTTGATTCAATTTCTAATCCGAGCTCATTCAAATTATCCGCTTCAATTCAAGTCAAGCCGGGTAGTCTTTTGTTCATTCATTTTTTTGGTTCAGCTTTTACCTAATTGAGTGACCAATTGACTTGTTTTAGCCTTTCATCCCTTTCCCAAATCAGGTTGCTTGAGATCTAATGGCTATTGGCGCAAGGGGAAATAATCGAACCCAGAAAATTGCTGAATCTAGTAGTCCTTAACTGCTTTACCTATGACTTCCTGATATCACTAGCGATTTCAAGTTATCAGGGGTAAAATCACATCCTGTAGGCCGGTCATGGATAACCGTTTGAGGGCTAGATTACCTTTACAAAGCTCATCTCAACAGTTTGAACTGCAGGGCTATACATTATGAACTGCAGGGCTATACATTATGGGAGAAGGGGGGAGGGGGTGGGGGGTTGCGCTAACATAAGACATTTAAGTCATACTTCTCCCCATATGGTGATTGAGAAGAAAAATCTATCGATGAATGAAGGATTAGAAATTTAAACTTTATAAAAAACAAATTGCTTTTGCTCATATTATACTTGATAGATGCTTCAGACGAGAATAAACATTTAACCATCTAAACCTATTCATTAGTGTTAATTTTTGTAGAACAATAAATCATTATAGTTTAACATCAACAATTCTCACAAAACTCCAAAGTCCCACACTTTGACCATTAAGAAATTCTTTCTTGCTCAACTATAATAGATTCCAATTTAAGATATGCCCAATCTTTATGTGCCATAATTTGATGAAATCATCCGAGGATGAAATTGGTGCATCACTTGTAATTGTGTTGTCTTGAAGAAAGTAGAGATCTTTATTTTTTTTTTTTGCCCTTATAAAAACTTGACACCCATGAAAACATATAAAACTTTACCATCAATAATGAATATGCATCCGATTGAGGCAAACAAACCACGAACATAAGTCTTTTGCAAAGATGGCGTATATATGACCTCATCTAAAGTCGTCTTATCTTTATCATGTCTTGATCTAAATCGTCCCTATTCCACATCTTTGTCTTGATCTAAATCATCCCTACCCCATATATTTCAAGCCATTTCTTTATCCATAAGGACATTTTCACCATTAATAGACCTAGAAGAATGAAATCAAACCCTATAAGGGGTGATATTAACATCTAGATTTGAGGATCTAATCTTTAATGTAAGAAATATGAGAATGTGCAATTGTTAGAACTATTTAGACCCAAATTGAAGTTGTTTCAGAGCTAGATTTTCCTTTCTGACCTCGAACTTTTCTTGCAATAATCTGTAATATGATTTCCAGAATCCAAATTTGTTGCCTAGTGGCATGGACCCCCTTTTTGTTGACATTGGTTTTAATCTCCCTCTTTTTCTCTCTTGCTTTCTTCATGCACTTATCTTTTCTCACAAATAAGTCCTTAACTATGCCTTCTTCTTTCACCTTTTTCCTTTACTCATTTAGGCCTCATTTGTTTCCGTTTTTTTTCCTCTTCTATTTAGAAATGGAGAGATTATTTTTTTGGTCGATGCTTGGATGGGACACTTTTATATAAATATTTTTTAGGGAACTTCATTTTTCTACTGTTTTGAGAAGCTTTTTGATATTTGATTCTTCGTTAGAAAACTCCATTCTCTTAACCATTGTTTCTAAAACTACCTTTAACAAAAATAGAGGAAGAACCAAACGAAGTCTTAATAAATGGTGGACTTCACTTCTATCATAGAAATAGCTAAGAATGTGCTTATAAGTGGATGATAGAGAGTATAGCAAGGTCAAAGCTATATCTTCCCTTTTAATATTTACAATTATATTTGCTAGATCCAACCTAAGCTGGTTGTAGTCATCAAAGTGCTTTTGCAGTATTATACCATCGTTCATGTGAAAATCAAACAATTGTTAATTTAAAGCAAGACGATTCACGATTGGTAGTTTGCCAATTATGCAGTACTTGGATCTACTTCATTTCAAAGAACTTCATATCCGAAATTGAGGATAACTAAACCAAGGATTTTTTATTCATCTCTCCTTCCTCATCTCTGCCAATTAGGGAATCTTTTGGTTCAAAGTTTTGAGCCAACTATCCTTAGACAAAGATACTTTCATCTTTATCTTCCATATAATTAAAGTCCTTATTCTGAATGAACTTCTCAAACTCATATTTGGTAGTGCTGATGGAAGGCATTGATGATGCCATGTCCTAGGTTCAACCATGCTGCTTTTATACCAGTTTAGTAGAACTGAAATGCTTAAAATAATTCTTTTAAGAGTGCTAAAAAGATTAAATATATGAACCTATGAGAAAGAAAACTAGCACCACAGACATAGCTATGATATGGAAACAATAAAATAAACATAGAGACAAGAACACTAACATTTATATTGTCATTCTATGAACTACATCAATGGGTTAATGAGGCTCAAATTTATCTACTAGCAAATCTATAGAGTACAAATTGAGATGAATAATAAAACAATCAAAGCTTTTTTAAAAAAAACTAATAAGGATAATAGAGAAGATCTCACCAATTAGGATAAATCTTTCTTAAAGGAAAGTTAACTAGGAAAAGAAAAGTTCTCGTCCAAATCTCCAAGAAAAAGAAAAATTGAAGATAAAATACGCAAGCTACTTAACATCACAATCTCTCGTGGAAGAAGAAGCTAAAGTGCCCTGATCTTCATCCCACAATCTTAAATCCATTCCCTTCATGAAGAACCCAAACTGAGGAACTTTTATCTTCTTGGGTGAAGAATCTCTCTTAGATCTCAAATTTGGCACTTGCTTATTCCTTTGATTGGGTTATGAGAAGTAGAATTTAATTAATAATGTTGATTAAGAAATATTTACAAAATGCCCCTTTTAGGAAGTAGAGACCTGAAATATATCCCTAATGCTTTTAACAATATCTTTCATATAATGATCACTCTAAGGCCGTTTGGGGTTGCTGCAACTTTTTGTAAAGAAATATTAAAACTATTGTGGATAAAATAATTTTTTTGAAAGCTACTGTAGGTATTATAAATATTTTTATTTTGAAAAAAATGGACAACAATTTTCTTACTGCTAGATCTGATTATAAATAGTGCTCTCACTATAGAAATTGTCAGTAGCAGGAGCCAAATGGAAGCATGACAACAGTCTAAAAAGCAAAGCAGGAGAGAGCTACCCGAAATGAACCCTAAGTTGATATGAAAGAATCAAGAGGTAAGCTGTGTCATTAGTAACTCTAACGTGAGAAAGGAGACATCCAAATGCTAGAGAAGAAACCACAATTGACAATTATAAGTGTAGTATCATTTGGAATAGAGTTGAACATGATACATGATGTAGTCTTAAAACCCAACCGTGAAAGATAAGTTTGCTTGAAATTTTCCAGAAAAATAACCCAACTAAAAAAAAAAAATTTCAAAGGAACCAAGTCCTCCTAGATATTTTTATAAGAAACTACTAGAATATAACAAGTTACTTGAATAAAGGTCATTAGAAGAAAGAATCACATCTGTGGGTCACAATTTCAATTCAAGTTAAATCACTCCAATTCTAAATAAAGGTTTGATATATCATTAGATGAAAATGAGTGATTCATTTCCAATGATGGTCCCAACTTTTATTAGAGTAACATAGAAATTTCATTAAAGAATTAGGATTCCAAGCCAGCCTGTTGAAATGAGGGCAAAACGTGGCTAAATGCAAATTATGAACCCAAACATTTGTCCGAAAGTTCACTTTTTCTTTGTTATGAACTATCCTGGAAATCAGATTGACGAAAGGAAAAGAAACATTTTCAAGTCCTTTAATGAAATGAATACATGAGTGCCTTCGCCCAACTAGAAATCAAGTTTAGAAGTGTTTCTGTAGTAATTGTTGTTGATAATATTGCCTGTGAGGATTTAGAGTCCACATGAACAGATTTTTAGAACCATTTAGAGAGAAGTTAAATATTCATGGATCGGAGATGTCTAATATCAAGTTGTCCAAGCTTTTGGGGTTTGCAAATGCTTTTCCAATTGACCAAAAGGAATGCTATTAATTTTATTAATGACCAAATCTAGCACCCAAAAGAAAGGAAAAAAGAATAGATGATAAAACATAATTTATTAAAATTATCTTGCCACCTATATAAAGAAAATTTCCTTTCAGGGATGCAAGGTTTCTTTGGATTTTTTTTAATCATAGGATACCAACATTTCTTTGCAATGCTTTCGAGCTACGATAGGGGCAGCAAGAATTGAAAGATGTGGCAAATATTATTTTATGCTATCAAATGCTTCATGACAGGCATTATCCCATATAAAATGGGTATTTTTCTTCATTAACCATAATGGTTGACATATACCTGAAACGTTAGATATAAACCTTTGAATGTACATCAATCTTTCTTGGATTGAACGAAGTTGTCTTAGTGTTTTTGGTGGCAGCATTTCCACAATTACTTTAATTTTAGCAGGATCGATTTCGATTCCCCTATGGTATACAATAAATCCCAAAAAAAATTTCGGATGAAACACCAAAAGCACATTTTAGTGGATTTATTTTCAAATTGAATTTTCAAATTCCTTGGAATACAATTCTAAAATCATTTACATGCTCATGTTGAACTTTACTTTTACAACCA